TTCTGTGGAGGCGTCTTTCCGCGCCTGCCAAATGTGCCATGCCATGCTGTGAGGGCTGAAGCGTAGAGGCAGAAACCGGGCCTCCTTCCAATAACAGTATCGGCGTTCAGGCCAAGGCAAGAATTACATCACCGCAGTGTCCAAATATCGACGCAGCACCTCATTGCCCGTTGGGCCTGCGCTTGGACCATTCCTGTGGCACCATGGTGCTATTCATTGTACTCCTTGAGGAAGAACCTGAGCTACTGCGAGTTGATGCCGCCCCCTGCACGGTCTAAAATGTAACCGCTCAACGGATGCTATGGGCACCAAGCACGCGTACACCAACACAAGCACAAACCGAAACAGACTTGCAAACATTTGCATGAAGGCTAACAACAATTTGCGTCCAATCGCGGTTCAAGTCAGGTGTCAGTATTTCAGTCTAAATGTCAGATTCTTGTTGTTGCTCCGAAGTACTGCAATCTCCAAGTACTCTTGGTGGTCTTTCCTCGTCTCAGTGCTTCTTTCAGTGTTGTTCAAACAGAAATTTCTGGCAGTTACTCCTGCCGTGTTTCTGTCTCCAAGGTTCAAGTACTCTTGGTGTTCAACGTCTCCAGAGCAACTGTGCTTTTGTCTCAACATTCCTGTGTTCCAGTGTCACCGTGGTGCCCTGGCAAGTGCGCTCTGGCTAAATCGAAACTTGGGTCGGAACGTGGATCATCGGCCAGCTTTGCACCCATTCCCAAACATGCATAAACAAGTATTGGAAAAGTATGAGGCGATTATTGCTCGCTAGGCAGCTCTCACATGCGGTTTAGTTTGTCCTTGCGGCGCACCCATGAGCAGCCACATGCCATGGCTGTTGCCAAGTCCACGCCTTCCCGGCATCAGCATCGCAGCCAAAACAAATTATGACAACTAATTATTCCAATGCAAAACTTCTGATCACCAAGCCGTCAAACTGAAATCTGAACCCTGCCCAAAAGTAAAGAAACGAGCTTCCCCAAAAAGATCCGGCATGGGGGGGGGGGGTTTTCGCCCACGAGCTGCTCCAGCCCTTGACGTCACATGGCCCGTCCATGCAACGCTGGCCTGCCAGGGCGCTCCGCCCGCAGCGCCTCTTTGGCGTCCACACGCTCGCAGGGGTCCAGCATCAGCATCTGCCGCAAGAAGCCGACAAAGGCCTGAGCCCACAAGGAATCAACAGGAAGAAAATCGGGAAAAGTACGAATCACGAAATCGGAAACCCTGTGGCAATCACAAAGCTGAAGGATCTTGCATTCTGCTGACAAGCGCGATGATTGGTAGGAGGCCTGCAAAAGAAGTAATGTTGCTTGTGACGTGGTAATTATACCCTTGTCAAACAGTCCATCTAGCTGCTCGAGGGCCAAGGCTGGCCCTGATGTTGGGTCGAGGTCGGAGGAGGGGGGAGGGGGATTTTATTCAGCTGGGCCTGATGCTCCGGAGGGCAGCGATCTTGAAGTCGCCATTCCTGGAAAACACGCCTCAGAGAAAGAGAGCTTTTCCCATGTGCTCAAGCGCGGACTTTGAAGGGAGAAAGCCGGCCCAGCTGACTTTTGTCACGGTCATGAATGCTGCCAGGTTGCATGATGGACTCCTGTGTCTCGGTGCCCTGCAGTTGCTAATTTCAGCAACCCTTTGGCTGGTTGGATTCTTCCTCCCGGAAAAACTAATTTCTCTGTCGAGAACAGCGGCCACAGGCTCTTTCCCATATGCCATCCTGCTGCAGCTGAACCAACCAATGAGTCGCGCCCAGCCTGGGGATAGAGAACGGGCCATTGGAGCTTGTCCTGGTCCGGGGTCAGAAACCGCTGCTTAGCCTGCAGTTGGCAGCCCAAAGTCAGCCTGCCTCTGATTGGCCTCTACAAAAACCAGGGCTTCAAATCCTCGAACCACCAATCCAAGCCACAAACTAAGGGTTGCCTGACAAAGCGGCAGTATGCGCACAGAAAACAAGCGAGCCACATCACAAACAAAATGCACGGAACCCTTGCTGCTCGCCGCGTGCAACAGTCTGCACTGCACTGCTTGATCCAAGCGCTTCAATGGCCCATCCCGCCTTGTGGTTGGCCCGGCCGAGCATCGACACCGGGAACGGGCCGAGGATCCGTTCCTTCAGTTAACGGGAGGGTTCCACAGTTGCAAACCTGCCAATCCAAAGAAACCATTGCTCTCTTAAAGCATCATTCATCATGACAAAGAACCGCCTGGGGATGTAAGCTTCGCTGCCCCCCCCCGTGCTCCAAGTCTCCATCAGCGCCAAATGCTCGGGACTGCTGTGCGTCTGAAACAGCATGTTGCCACTGTAGAGCTCGAAAAGGATGCAGCCCAGGCTCCAAAGATCGGCCTTCTCACTCCAGCCCATGTTCAGAATTACTTCAGGGGAGCGGTATTGCCGGGTCTGGATCACGGAGGAGTGGTGCATGTCCACGTAGGTTGCATTCCCAAAATCAATAAGCTTTATGTCGTTGCTCGCTGGCCTTGCATACGAGACCTTGGCATACCTCTCTGAGGGAGGCTGGAAATCCGCCCGTGGGAAGTGGGCTGTGCGCGGGCTGTCCCGGGTCCTGAGAAGGATGTTCTCCGGCTTCAGGTCTGTATGCGTGAGGCTCATGTTGTGCAGGAAGCTCAAACCTTTCAAGCTTTGCTTTGCAAAGGCTTGGATGTCTTGAAGCCAGTACCCTCGATAGCCGTTCCACTTCCTCAGCCAAGTCCCGATCATGCAAAGCAACACATCGGCAGCAGGGCAAGCACAGGGTCCGCAGCCGAGGCTCAGGAAGTCGTACAGGGAATCCCCTAACACCTCACAGACCATGCAGAAGAACACGTCGCTGTGTAGGAAAACTTCGTGGAGAACTACACCTGCAAGGCACAAGATCCCCCCGACGTCTCGACAAAAGGCCTCCCATGCGGCCAGGCAAAAAGGCTGGCAAACACTCCTATGCACCCAGCTAAGCGCGGCCATTGGCGCAGTTTGACGTTCCATCAACATCAGCTATGCGGATATCCTGCCAGCATAGCACGTGCGCAACGCAATTGATGCAACAAATGCACAGAATGAATGCGCCAAGCAAACCCTGGCTGCCACGCCGCGCCCAAAACCGCTCCAGGCGCAGCCAAGCCGCCTTCAGAATGCTAGCCTCAATCTTCGCATTCTCCCGGTATCTCTCGACGTCCTTTGCCCCGGGCACAGCCAACCTCCGCCTACCACCTCCTTTCCCGGCCAACCGGAATGCCCACGAGCCCGGAACGCCCAGGCCGAGCGGCTCTGATGATCTTGAGGGCTACATACCGATCATCCTGCATATCCTTTGCCAGCAAGACTCTTCCGAAGGCACCATCGCCCAAGAGCTCTTCCTATGCAGCGCGACAATGGGCAACAAAATCATTGTCGGGTGACCCCAAGTCGGCCAGCAAGAAGGCACGCAACACCAGCACTCTTGCATCAGGTGCCCCACAACATACAGCCGCCCCAATTGCGCAATCACGTCAGAACTTGCGAAACGCAACAGAAATTGGTCAGGCAAACACTCAGCGGCACAAAAGCCAGCGAACAATCTGAATCCCCCACCTGACCTGCTGCCTAGATGCACTGCAAAAGCGGTGCCCCTTCCAATTAGACGAGCCACCAACTGGTATCGAGAGCCCAGCACCTGCCCTCGCTGCCAAGCAAAGTGGACAATGTCATCGTCCGAGTCGGCCGCCTGCAAGCAGTCAGCAGAAACGAGGGCCAAACTTAGTGTGGTCGAGGAGCGTGTGCGCTCATATACCTCCTTTGGAACAAAATGAGAGAACATCAACTAACTCCCGCCAGCAAGTGTACATGTCGGGTTGGCTTCCCTTTCCTATCTTGTCTGAGTTTCCCTGTAAGCTCATTCAGGACCTCTTGGAACAGAACGGCAAACAGTTTTACGTCCGTTGGCCTTTTTTTACTTGACAGGTCGCCTATATACCCTCACTCAACCAATTTACTTGCTCCATCTACGTCTAGGATGCCACGTGCTTTCAGTCAACCTTTCCCAGAACACAAATGGCAGCTTCAAGTTGCTCATGTGCAAAGTCCTACAATTTGGTGGGAACTGACAATGTCTGCCAAACCTAGATTATGAGAACATGTGGTGGGAATACGCGGTACCACACAAATGCATCACCGCAAAGTCTCACATAAACAAAGCATCCATTGCCATTGCTGTTGACTAACCTCAGTTTCCCTTCTCATCTTGAAAATATCGAGCAGCAGCAGCAGCAGCAGCAGCAGCAGCAGCAGCAGCAGCAGCTGACAACCCCCATGAGCAGGTCGCCTCATGTGGCCCCTCGGCCTCAGGTTCGGCGACTGGCGGCTCCTCAACCTCCCCATCACTGTCGTCCTCCTCATCCCTAACTGCCGTCCGGCTTCGGCTCCGGGACGACATGGCTGGGCCATGGACAGAAAGCTGGGGGCTTGCAGAATAAGGTTCCTCCAGTGGAGCGGATTGGCGATGTATACCAACAAGTTCCCCCCAGTTCATGGTGGTGCTTGTCAGGCCGCAAATGGCTGAGGCTGGCTCTGCGTTCTCCCGTCTTGAAGCAGGCTGCGCCGGGTCACTTATTCGAACCTCCGGAAAGCATCAGGGCTGCCCCTTGCGGCCCATGGCATGTTTATGGCTGCGAGCCCATGGCAAAGTCCAGCGGGAGAAGCGCAGACTGGCATGATGGGTCAAGGCCAACATAAATCCTGACGCTGACTCCCTGCGTGGGGACATTGAGCTAAGCGAAGTTTTAAGCCGGCTGTCCCGAAAGATGTGAAGGCAAAATCAGCATGCATGCATTGTTCAGCAAAGCTCCGGTCCAGCACTCACCACTCCTCCCCCCTGCCCGCAGCGCAAACTAGAGACAGGCCGCAATTGCCGCCCCACGCGTCCCTCACCACATGTTACAAGCAAGCCATCATAACCATAGTTCCCAGCGTGTTTCAAACCGAAGGATGGCTTCACCGACCACAACACGCCACTCCGCGCCTCAGCAAGCTGGTCCTCAGAACATTGGTGATGAGGTCCTTGGCCATAGCCATGACTGACCCATTCGCCTGCGGCTGGCTCCCTACCGCGCGACATTGCGCCCGGGCCCGGAAGGCTCCGACAGGCCCAGATCATTTGGGGGCGCCCGATATCGGGCTGTTTCAAAACAGAAGCCGCTTGTTTTGGGAAAAACAGCTCCGCTCCAGGCAACTGCAATGAGTAACAGCCGTCCGAGCCCGGAGTCAAACTCCCTGCCCCCCCCCCCCAAATATGCAAGATGGACCACTTTCGTCTCCCACCCAGTGCGAACCTCAAGCCAAGGACAAAGGGCGGGGCGGCATTATGGTTATCAGTGCCTGCTGTCGCAACAATCTGAGCAGCTTGCCTGGCTGCACGGCAAGCCGGCGCAGCTGGGCTTTGTCGAGTATGTGTCTGCGCTTTGAGAAGGGTAAGTGGTCAGACGGCTAGTGCTTTGAGTTCCGACACATCTTGCATGCTGAAAAGCATTTTATTGTTTGAGCTGACCGTGGCACATGAGGCGAAGCTGTCTAAGCTCACTTTGCAAGCCAAACCCTGCAGCACATGCCACAAACCGCTGGTGCCGTCGAGCATGACCAAGCCCTCTCATGATGCAGCGGCTTCCGCACTCTCCACTGCCCGGCGCCGTTTCCCACTGTGAACAGTCTTTGGCAAGAGCCCCACGTGCGCGCGGGTCCGGGCTTATAAGAGCCTCCGCTCAGGCGTGCAGAATTGCAGGCTAGAACCTGGGCGGATCCCAGTAGCCACCTTTATTGCATGGCGGGGCAACGGGAGGAACATATGCTCGGCCTCGGTGGCTTAACTTCCCAAGTCTATAGCAATCATTGGAGCTCAGCGCAGGACTGCCAGTTAGTTGACCCAAGACCTGTTCAGCTCCTGTCGCGTCACACGATCCTCCCTCATGTCCCTCTAAAATCCATTGCAGTTGAAGCCCCTTAGCAGCGCACCTTGGGCAATAAGGTTCGTCCAGCAAAAAGACGGCAGCTGGCTTGCTTTTCTCATTCTCCACCACCCCCCTCTCTGTCTCTGCTATGTTACTATGTCGGTTTGATCACTGGCGGGAGGGAGGGAGGGAGGGAGGGAGGGAGGGAGGGAGGGAGGGAGGGAGGTAGGGAGACAGAAAAGCTTGCCCGCGCCGGCTCCTTCTGCTGCTTCCTCACCTCGGGGGGCCCCCCCCGCTTGAAGGCGTCCACCAAAAGCCTGACATCGTCCTCGAGAAGGTCGGCCAGGGCGTGACTCGGAAACAACTTGCCTCACCTCATCTTGCATTGCCTTGCCTTGCTTCGCTTTTGGCTCCCTTCAAAACACAATCCAATTGGTTTAACGGCAGCGAAACATGGCAAACCCAACCATTGGGGGATGCTGCCGTTGTGGATGCCGCTAACACCGACCCGTGTCCTCCGCCTTGCCTTTGTCGATCCTGGCGGAAAGTCGGAAAGCTAATGCTGAAGAGTGCGGCAGGCAACGGAGATGTCAACAAGCAACAGTCTCTCAAAGAGAGAGAAAACCAACTCTGGTCTGTCTCAGCTAGTGAAACGGCAATTCTAGACACAGTCCCTTCAGGCTTTGCAGAGCTTGGCAGGCCTGTTGGGCCCCCGGATGGCTGTAAGGCCACGCTTGCCCAGCGGCCCAGAGCCGTTCTCCCTGGGCACATTCACCTCGGCGCGGTAGGTGTTCTCGCCACCTGGGCCGGGAAGTCTGTGGCATGCGGGGCAGGTGGAGGGAGCGTGGACCAGGGGCGCCCTGATTTACTCGGGTGTGTCTTGAAATACGGACCCACCCAAAAAGTGGCCTGCCTGTGTTTCCCTGTGGCTCCCTCGAAAAGAAAAAGAAAAACACCTGACAAAGGTATCTTCTCAAACAGCATGGCTCTGCGCTCCAACCCGCTCTCTTCCGCCAAGTTCGTGGCTTGACCTGGGGATGCCATCGATGATGGCTGTGGTTATCTCCGCACCATCGTCATCATCTGCCTTGGCCTCGGGCTCCTTTTCTTCGGTCTTCGCCTGCGCCCAGTGGTTCACGAGCACCTTTATACGTGTCTTCTTGCTTGTTGTTTGGCTTGCACATAACAGTGAGATGCTTGAGCCCAAGATCTGTACTGAAGAAAAAAGAAAAAGCCTGAGAGAGACGCTGCATCAGACCCAAAGAAAACAGCTCCACTATCTTCGGCGAATGTTTGCTCATGTTGTTTCTTCACTTTGCCTTTGGCCAAACGGACAAGACTTGCGGAATTCACGCATGCTAGATCAAACGCCTACTGTCGCTCGCCCCCCCCCTCCCTGCAAACCATGCGCCTTCTCTGATCCTTTGCGCCATTCTGGGGAGTAGGAATGCTTGGAGGGTGAGCGTCGCGAGCGCGAGCCACCTCCTCGCCTGGGCGTGAAAACTCAACTGACAAGCCCATACCCATCAGAGCATTCAACATAGCCCGGGCAGCCTCAAACGGCCTCAACAGCCCTCAGTCTGCGCAAGCAGCTCACACAATGCCATGGCACGGGCTGGGAGACCGCTTCCGGGGCGGGCTGCGTCGGGGCGGGCTGCGCCGCCGGCTGCCGTCTCGTCTAGAGCTGCGCCGAGGCGGGCTGCGCCGAGGCGGGCTGCGCCGAGGCGGGCTGCGCCGCCGGCTACTGCGCCGAAAGCTGCGGCTCCGCCTACTCGGGCTTCTTCGGCGGCCTGCACGCAGCATGGAAGCGGGGCAAGTCATGGCATGACTCCGTGCCTGGCTGACTGATGGCTGGCTGTCTTGCTGGCTGCATGACCGACTCTGTGCTTGGACTTCCAGTTGTTGGCAGTGATGGTGGTAAAGTCTTGCTCAGCAAAGGGCTACATAGTCCCGCGCATACAGTCAGAAACAGGACGGATGCATCAGAGATGTGTTCACCCTGCGCAATTTCCCCTCCTCAAGATTGGCAACGTCGCCATCGTCATTGTCACCATCACCAAAAAGGTCACCGTCACCAAAGTTGTCACCATCACCATCATCATGGTCCTCATCCTCATCCTCAATCATCAGCATCAACATCAACATCATCGTAACCATCATTGTCATCCTCATCGACGTTATCAGCATCCATCATCAGCATCAGCATCAGCATCAGCATCAGCAGCAGCAGCAGCAGCAGCAGCAGCAGCAGCAGCAGCAGCAGCATCATCATCATCATCATCATCATCATCATCATCATCATCATCATCATCATCATCATCATCATCATCATCATCATCATCATCATCATCATCATCATCATCATCATCATCATCATCATCATCATCATGCAGCAGCGGTATCGTCATCCTCGTTCTCATCATGCTCACCCGCAATTACAAGGTTATCGTTTTCAGGAAGCCCGCAGGCAATGGTGGCGCTGCCCCCGATGCCCTGTTTGCTCTGGGCCACTTGGTGTGATTCAGTTTGAACCCGTCGAGCTCGACATATATAATTTTACCATCTTTACAGGAACCGGGCCTGAGCGTCGTGGGCTGCGGCTGCGGCGGCGGCTGGAGGATCGAGGCATGGGCCTAGGCTCCATGGGATCTCTCCCTCCACACGCCTGCACTGACAAAAGAATAACGTAGAAGGAAGAGCCATGATTCGGACCCATCCCGGCCCATCGTTAGCTAGAGGGGATCACCTTGCCCTCGCGGGCCCAAGGGCCTTCTACAGAAAGCCTTTGGTCAGCTGGACAAGAAACTTGGGAGGTCAATCCTGGCTTGGGAGAGATGAGAGGCACCATGCCACTCATGAGTTACTAGGCTCAAGCTACCAAGTCTTGCTTCGCAGTTTGCCTGTCTGTGCAAAAGAGATCCCGAGCTTTCGGGTTCTTCTGACAAAGCATCAAATCACAGAGCCAAGGTTAGTTGGGCTTTACATTGAATTGCTTGCTTGGCATGATCGATCAACATGGCTTTGGTCGACTCAAATCATGCTGCTTTTATCGACTACCTCACTGACGATTCTCGGGCTTTTGATGGGGATGATGGGAATGCCGAAATGCCCATCAACAGGAATGCTCAGTGCACTTGAGAGACCGGCACAGGTGAGCAGCCAGTTGCAGATTGCTCAAATGTTGGAATGCACTGGTATGTCGCAGGTTGTGGGTAGAGTCTTGGTGGGATTTAGAGGTTAGCCAATTGAGCTTGCAAGCCCTCTGCATAACCATTGAAACCTGCCACTGATGGGTGGCATGCGTGCTCCATACACTGGGTTCGCTTGAGCTGCAACATGCAGGATCCAGCAGTCGGCAAATGCGTTTCAGCCCTCAACCACAGCACCGCCGCCTGCTCGCAAACTTCCTGCTGCCGTTCTGCGCGGAACGCCTTTTCAGGACTGTAGCTGCGACATGCACGCAGCATGTCGCAGTAGAGTCGCCCCAAAAAAATAAATACAAAGGAAAACAAACAGGGCCTTGGCCATTTGCAGTTCAGCATGGCTCCTACTGAGGCAGGAGACATGCTGCACCGTGTATTGCCGCGGCTGGAGTATGGGGTCAAGCACAGTTGTCATGCACACTGAGGGTGTACCCCTAACGACGTCAAAGCATCACAATGTCAGCCTTTCATAGCGGGGAAAATAGCCGACAAGAACAAGGGGATGGTCTCAAAGTGAACTGGGACACCCTCAGGGTGCACAACACTATGCCTCAACGAGGGGGATCGTATTGCGAACTATATGTCGCATCCCTCCAAAAAGCCGCATAGCTTGTTGTGAAAAAGCTCCCTTGACACTTCCTTCCACAAGAAGTCTTCATTGTCAATGTACCGGATCTTGCCATTGACGAGTTCTGGCACGCTTGACATGAACTGGCATGTGATTCTGTATGTTGAGTGATCCATGCACGGACGTCCTGTCCCCACATGGCGGCGTTCCGCCCTGTGCATTGAAGTTTTGGGGCTGATGAAAAGAAGGACTGCGCTGACGGTGTAACCGGCTGCGTCTTTGAAGTATGAAATCATGTCCAATCCCGGGCTTGTGCCAGTGACAGGCAGCACAATGTCCAAGCCCTGGTCACAGCAACGCTTCAAGGTCTCTACTTTCCACCTTTTCATGTCTGCGGCCAGGTCCAGATGTGAGCGGCAGCGCTGCTGCGTCGCCATCACCACTTGATGGCCCCAGTGTGCCTCGTAGAACACCTCTCCGTCGATCACCGCAAAATCCTCCAAGCCAAAGAGGGCCCTCCTCACCCGCGCGTCGCGCCAGGCCGAAGTTTTGCCGGCACCTTGCGGTCCAGCTACCAAGACCAGGCGTTTGTTCCTGCCTAGGCACCCCACCCGATGCCGCTGGTGCAGCTCAGCTCTGTCCAGCCAGCATGGATCTGACCAAGACCTTGGTGTGCCGGGCCACAGCTTTTATCCCCCGCGCACAATGCGTTTGAGGTGATAAGTTAGGTAAGAATGATGCCGAGAAGAAGGAGGTCCCAGCAATCGCCCTGCTGGCTTCTCTCTAAATGCCTAAAGGAAACTGAGGCTGCGGCACGGGAACGCCGGCAGAATGGCACATGCTGTAGCAGCTTTGGGCAATCTCCAGCTGACTGGTCAACGCACAGCTGGACACGACCCTCGGAGAGCTGCAGTTCTCGACAAAGTATATTGTTCCTTGGAAAAGTGAGCAGCCCGCTGACAAATCCGCACAGCGCAAGCACAAGCCAAGCGCAATCGCAAAAATGCAACTTGCAAGTTCTTGGCGTTGCTGTGCCTCGGCCACCTGCACTCGGCAAACGCCTCTGTTCTGGCAAGGTGCCGCCGCCAGGTTTGGCCGCCAGCGATGCTGCGAAGCAGGATCGGGTGACCTCTGCGAAAGCCTGGGCACGGCAATCTCGTCGGCCAGCCGGGCGGTCCGCCCGGGCGCTGCGCCGGGTGGAGGCCAGGGAGGAAGAGGTAAAAACCAGCATGAGGTGAACTTTGTAGCCCTGGCTCACCAGGCGCGTGATGATGTCCTCTCACAGGCGAGAACTGAATCGGTGGCTTCTGCGCCTTCTCGGGAACCTTGCTGGGATGTTTGGCCGCCTCACTTAGTCAGAATAACTTTGGTCCAAGTCTGAAAGTCCTAGTGCACCCATTCCAGGTTTAAAGGCTGGGCCTTGGCTGCACATGATCAACCCTGCCTCGCCCCGAACTGTGGCCACGAGGAGGTTCTTCTTCTCCCGGATGGCCGCAGCAATCACTTGGTCCTTGATCCAAGCGGTACCTTGTGGGCTGAGGGGTTGAACCTGCCGCACCAGGTCGCCGTCCACCACCACAGCATCAAGGCCAGAACCGCCGCGAAGCGGAAAGTCGCCCAGCCCCGGGATGGCATCGTTTTGTGCCAGCATCTGGCGCAGCGTGCTCTTGCCCACCCCAGGCGGGCCCAGCAGGACCACCGCAGTGCTGCCAGTCCCAGCCGACATGTCACACAACCTCAGCACTGCCTCTCGGTGTACTTCTGCCGTTTTGACTTCGTCCAAGGCGTGGTAGGCTGCCGGCAGCTCGTCGCCAAGCCCAAGATCGGAAAGCGAGAGCTTCTCAGAGTACATGATCGGCGCCATAGGGTAAGGGCTGTTTTCCTCGGGTGTGTGGTTAGAATCGGCTGATTATATCTCCAGTTGCACCGTGCCAAAAAAAGAAACAACCACCCTCTCAGCATAATATTGATGAACGCCTTGCCCATACAGTGGACACAGATACAGGCAGGCAGCGTCATGAGTCGAACCGGGTTCGGGTCGGGTCCGAATGTTGCAAGGTTTCAGCGACGAAAAGCTTGCTATTAATACTATTGTGAAATCCCGGTGCGCAGCACAGGGCAAATCGCTAGGCCATCCTTTTGCCTGAAAAGCGTAGCGTATGGCTTAGGCCTGAATGGCAGCCGGTACAGCGGGCTATGTCTCATGCGTGCTAAACACTCCATGCCAACATCCCTCAGTCAAGCTGGCTTTTACAGCTGACCTTTCTTTTGTTGGCTGAGAGGGTGATGGTCCAGGCTTCCGGAAAAAGGTGATAAGCACACTAGCCGGCCGCCCAATCAGTCCTTGAGCGTTCTGCAAGGTCTTGGTGTCCACATCGCGCGCCAACTCACGCCACTCAGAGTGGCCGGAAGGCTCATCAAACCTGGCAAAGGTGCTCCGCATGTAGTAGACGGTCGGGTCAAAGCGCGGCTTGGGCAGCCTGTAGGACCTTGCAGACCTGGCAACGTGAATGCCAACTCCATCCTGATGATGCCAACCTGAGCGTTCTCCCAGCATCAGCAATCGGCTTTGAAGATCTCATCCTGCGCGTCCAGCGGCCGTCCAACGACCACTGTACTGTCTCCAGCCTTGAGCTTGGTGACCTTCTTGTTGGTCTGCTTCACAAAATCCGGCCTGTACGTCACGCACCATTCACAGCTCTTCATGATGCTGTGGAGGTGATCCGTGTCCATATCCTTGGTGCCGGCGTCCACGAACATGTTCTCTGTGCTTGCTCCCTCCGCAAAATTCCACGAAGCCAGGCAACTGTGAAGGCCAATGACTTCTGGGCTCCATACGAAGGCGTGTCACTGCACCCCTTGTCGTAGACATCCTTGGCGTCTGTCACCACCAGCCATCAAATCAGCGCTGGCGAGCAACACGAAGTGGGCCGCCTGGCTGTAGACCTTACGCACTGGCTCAGCATCTGTACCACCATCACGTGTCACACTCCCCAGATTTGCATCAGACACCACCATGATCCCGCAGTTCCGCAAGTCCATGGGCTTGAAGCGCAGCTCAAAGTTGGAGTGCTCCTTGAAGCGTCGCAACAACTGGTTGGCCCTGAGCAACGTACCAACCACTCTTCGTTCACCTTGCAAAACCGACAACTGAAAACCCATGTCAAATCTGCAGTTCGCCACCAACCACTGAAGGCTGCCCAGAACTGCACGACATTGCTTGAACTCTGCGGGGGTTAGCGCAGCTTCCGGATCCTTCCGCCTTGCCAAAGGAACCTCAGCGGGCTTCAGGTTCTCATGATACTCCCGCATGGAAATGCACACATCCCCGTTCGGCTTCTTCTCTATCAGCTTGCCGCAGTAGGTGAACTTGCCGGTCTCTCTGGAACCAAACGTCAGCTCTTCCCCAAGCTTGTCCAGCGACTTCTTCGCCTCTTCGTTGCCACCCATGAGCAGGTCGTCAACATGAGAAATGATCAAGCCCAACAACACGGTGCGGTTGGGGTTCCACAGCCACCACATAGCAGCATCTAGGGGCCCAAAGCGGTCAGCGACTTGTGCAGGCGAACCATCGCCTTGCTGAATCTGAAAGGCCAAAGATGCCCTTCTTCAGTCTTGCTAGACCACCTTGTCCAAGAGGTAGCTGTGGCTCATCTCCCATGACGGTCCTGATCCACCCAATGTACAACTCTCGCTCATGAGGACCAAACAACTCACCCTTGAGGAAGGCGCTCTTCACATCTGCCGACCACAATTCCCATCCAAAGGAGGCGATGAAGGCCAGCAGCAAATGTTGTGAAATTCTGGAGGCCGTGGGAGCGTCTTTCCGAACTGCATAGGCCGTGGGATCCCGGAATTCCGGAACCAGTAGTCGTGCATTGGCTTTCAACGGCAAGGGCCTTGATTGCGTCCGCAATCCATCATGCTTGTCCGTGAAAACAAAGCGAGGGGTCAGGATCTTGTGCATTTCATTGCTCGCCTTCAACCTTTCTCGCACGTCCTTTGCCTCTTGCTCGGACAACACTTCCACAGCATCGTTGTCCTCCCAGACTTGCCATCCATCTCTTGCAGCCACAGCGAACGCGCGCTTCTGTTCAGCATCGAGGCCTCTCCACTTGTACTCCTTGCGCGCTGTCTGAACTGCTTGTACTTCATGATCTCCACGAGGCCATTCACACCCAGCTCGTTCCATGGCTATCTCCACGCCAGGAACCGTGATCGAGTACAACTCCATCGAGTGGCGAAAGCCGATCACGTAGAGCTTGATCATGAAGTTGCCGTAGAGGATGATCAGGAGGTGGAACACGCACCGCCTCCGACACATCAAACACCATTGGCTCAGCGGATCCACCAGGTTCTGGAAGGGCTTCAGGAGCTGGGGCCTCTGTGTCATCTCGCAGGGCCTGCCACTTGCGCTCTCCGCATCAACATCTCGGGCTCGAGCAAGAGCGCTTTCAAGAAGTCCACCGCCTCCAATCTGGCTGGCTGTCCGGATCACATCCGGTACAGGTGTGCCAGGTGCAGCGGTCGATTCACCGAGCCACCGTACTGGTCCTTCTGGAAGACACCATCGGGGTGCTCAAACGCGAAGTCCTTGGAGTGCTAAAAGTTGAGGACCCCCGGAAGACGGCAGAAGCAAACTCACGTGGTTGTACAGGAGGTAGATCACTAGGTCGTGAAGCTTGCCCCGGCTCGTTCAAGGGTAAAGTACTTAGCGTAGCCTCCCCGGTTGCTTCTCCAAAGGTGCTGGTAGTTCGTTGTGCACCATGTGGTTGTCCTTCGTCTCCTTGAGGTGTGCCACGAGCAGTCATGTCTCGAATGGCTGCTTCAACCACATCTTCTACGGCATCTCTCCAGGTGTCTGCGGAAACCTGTTCGATTGTGCTGGCAGGCCGTACATGTTCAACAGCACATTTGGCGAGCTGTCCCTTGAAGCTCACGAAGACGTTGGCGTGGCCCTCCTTGGCAATTAGTAGAGCCGGTCCGTGCCATCGACGAAGGCTGAGTCGCTTCTTGGAAGGCGAGGTCTTGTTGTTGTACTTGGAGTTCCCGAAGAAGTAAACGATCATCCCAGGTTCAAGCTGTTGCTGATGTGTGGTGCTAGTAGATCGTGATCTCGCAACTTCTGCTCGGCGACGGCCTCGGCTAAAATGCAACCTCGTCATAGCTACCTTCGCAGTCTCCCGGAGTGCCATCTGCCTCATCAAGTTGGGCCTGTGACCATCATCGATCAGCCCAATGCTCTGCGAGTCGCTGTCCAACATCGCCAAGAATATCACCCACCATACGTGGTTGCCGTCCAAGAGCAGCTTGTGCAGGCGTGACGCCCATCTCGTTGATGTCCCCGTTGTAGGCAGTAACCGCTTCCTGCAGAGCAACGTTCAAATCTTGTTGGCCCGTCACGGAGTGTGCCTTGACCAGAGTGTAAACCAAGCCTTTTAGAATGTTCACAAACTCCATTTTGCCAGGGGGCTTGCACCGCCGTGTGCCAAAGCAAGATAGAGTGCCTAGCACACATCTCCTCGAAGTCGTAGGAGATGAATTCTCGCCCCTGGTCAGCAACAAGTACACGAGGAGGTCCAAACACGGGCAACCATCTTGTTGTAAACCAGGTCACGATCTCGTCTGAAGACTTCTGCCTCGCCACCTCTGCCATTTGAAAGCTCGAAGTGAAGTTTACCGCGTGGATGACGTAGAAGTTGCGGCCGAGAGCGTCAACCGCTTCGAAGATGTCCACGTGGACCTGGTCAGAGACGTCTTTGGGCACAGGCAAGGTGGCAGGCCTCCTTGTCTTCGGCTGTCTCTTTTCATCACAGATAGCGCATTTCAATCGCTTAGCAGCGACAATAGCTTGGGCAGGAGCTCCGGAAATGGCAAGTGCTCGGGCGAGACGTCTGTTCGAACGATGGCCCGTGTTCTCATGGAGCTTCCGCACAGCTTCCTTGACAGCTGCTGGCACCTGCAAGTCAGGAACTTGCATCTCCTCCTCCTCCGACTCGCTCCCAAGTGGAAGAAGGGCAGGTGCTTCATCATCTTCTCCGTGCTCACCTTCATCTTGACCTTCTGCAGCGAGTACTTCACGCGCTCGTGGATGGTCTCTTTCGAATTGAGCTTCCATGCCCTGCACCAAGGTTCTGGCCAAAGCTCTTGGGTAGAGTCCCGCAGCGCTCGTAATTCGGGAACCACCAATCACGTGGGCGTGCGTGTGGTTGCGTAGGCACTTGAGACCATGAAGGCGTCCATGAAGTTCAGAGCTGCTGGTTGCGATCTTGGTTGCCTTCCGATGGAGTTCTCCCGAAGCACTTCGAAGGCCAAAGCGACATTGGTGAAAGGCCGCCAACTCAGCTTCCTTCTCCTCCAGGAACTTGATCATCTCCGGAAGTCACTCGTGAGGGGGCTCTCCATGAAGTAGTGTCTCCCTCCACGGATCTGGTCCTGGGCAAAGCTGGATGGCAAAGCGGATCAGCTTCAAACCTTCTTCACGCTTCTTGATGAGGTCACGTGCTGGGTTAAGCCTCATCAACGGGCTCCAGGGACCACAAGGAAAGGCCAAGGCAAGAAAGTAGGGCTTCTCCTTGTCGAGCAGCCGGTCTCCAGTGAAAAGGCAGTGCCGACCGAATGACCTCGACGGCGAGCCTCTTTCAGGATCGGCTGGGTCGTGGTGTAGACCTCGGTTACAAAGGTCCGGGGGAAGTGCACTGTGGCCATGAAGACTTTGTTCATGTAGCCATTGAATTCCTCCAACCACTGCTCATGCATGACATTGAGGATCTCCCTGCCATTCTTGGAGACCAGCTTGCAGCTTGCGATCACGTTCATGCTTCTGCCAGGCCTGAGTCACCAAAAGTGCCTGGCCGGGTTTAAGTTCTTGATGCAGCTTCCAAACATTTACCACCTCCAGATTATTCATCCCGCGGCTCAATTCCTCCTCCAGCAAACCCATCTGCGAGTCTATCTGTTGGCTGTCCTGCGCGGCCATGTTGTGCCAAACGGTGGTGGAGTCCTGTTGCGTGTTGGAGAGGGCCATCACGTGCTGCATCACTTGAGAAAGCATCCTTTGGTACTTGATGTCCTGCTGTGCCAGTAGCGCGTGGACGTCTGGACAGTGATGCCGTGAGTTGCCGATGAGGAACTCCATGAACCGACTTCGTCGTCCTTGGGCGCGCCCTTGGGAGTCATCTCCGTGCGCTCTGGCTGCTGTTGTGCTGGCTTGACTTCTGTTGAGGAACTCGCCGTAGAGCTCTTTCCTGGCTTCAACATGAAGGCTCCGACCACCGGTCGACACATCTGCTTGATCTGCTCGACGGTGGCTTTCTCCGGCACCTCGATGTGCAGTAGCGCAGCGAGCTTCAGCAGGTCTCCCTTCAGCGTTGGGAGGCCTCCCGGGGGCCAATAAGAGCTCTGACAGCCTTGACCTGCTTCCTCCTTTTGGGCCAGGATCTTGCCCTCCTTGATGGCCTCCTGTTTGATCTTGGCAGCCATCCCCTTTGAAGACCTTGCGGCAAGCATGCCCTCCACCATGGGGTCCTCGAGGAAGCTGAAACGAATTCCCAGCCTGTTGCGAAGCCATGAGGCCGCCGTGAGGCTCTGCATGTCTTCGAGAAAGGGCCTTGTTTTCCACCAGCTGTTCGCTCTGCAACATCCACTGCCGTGGGGTTGAAACGCTGGGGTACGGGAACGGCACGTAGCGCAGAGATGGCCGTTGCAATAGCCACAAGAGCATGCCACGAACGTGCCATGTGCTCGCGCGCGCAACCTTAGGACCATCCTTGCCCATTGCCCCTCCACGTTGACGGTTTCCTTGGTTGGCCTTTCGGAACATGGCTGTGGTGATCCGTGGTGAGGGGCGCTGAATCTTGGTTGGCCGTGATCGGCATTGCTGAAGGAGCCAAAACACCACCAGGATCACAACCGGCAGGCAGTCCCAAAAAGGACACATCAGCTGCGCGAAAACCTTGTTCCGTCACCAAATGCTCACGGGGCTTGTTGGAGATGGGGGTTGCACCGCCTTTGAAGTTGAGCTTGCGTTTCAACCACTCCAGCCGACTGGCTTGAACTTCAATCACTCCATCTTGCCCGAACCGTCTCCAAGGATCCCGGCCTGTCTCTGGCCAGCGGCGAGGCAGCAGCGGCAGCGCGAAGTGACCTGCCATGAGCTGTTTGAGCGGGATCAAGTAACCATCCAAGTTGTCCGCTCTGAGCATCTTTCTGGAAAAGCTCAAAACCGCCCCAATGGCATCCAAGAAGTCTCGACCAAGACGAAGTCCAAGGCTGGGCACCTTCACAACTGAAATCCAAACCAGAACCAGGGAGTTGCCAACCATGATGGGCACCCTGACACGTTGCGAACTCCTCTGCGAACCGCCATTGCCAAACCTGAACAACTCATCCTCAGACTCGAACTTGATGAGGTGACGAATCCAGTCGGGGGCAACTTCCAAATGCTTCATGTAGTGCCCTACCCAAACATCTCCAGAACAAGTTCGGTTGCAAGCGCTGTCCAACGCACCCATCAGCATTTTGTCCTGGGCGAGAGGCGCAGTCACGAGGTCCTCGTTGGGCTTGACCAGAATCTGGGGAAGAGGCGACCTGGGTGATGAGTCACCATAACTTCATTGCCACCCTGCTCGTCCTCCTCCGGGTACACCTCAGCGGTGAGAGCCTCGGTGAGTCTAACCTGTTTCGCCGCCTTCTTTGCCATCGTCGTACGTCCAAGTCCTTGACCCGGCTTCTTGCACTGCGGATCACCTTGCCAATGTCCAGGTTCTCCGCAATCAAAGCAGTTGGTCACAGCTTTGCAATTTGTCTTTCCGCCACGGCCTTTTGCAACACCCTTGCCTGGTTCATCATCTGCCTCCGCCACCATGGCTTGCTTATGCGCACCAAATGCCGAAGAAGGTCTCCTGAAGGATCCTTTTCCAGAAGAGCCTGATGAAGGGAAGCTGCGCGATGGTCGGGTGCTCTGGCTAAATGAACTTCCGGATGAAGGCCGAGGTCCGATGCGAGTGTGGGCCATGGTGATGATGCTGCCACAAGAAGCGATTCATGAGGATGCCCTTGTCATTGCTTGTCCGTTGCTTGTTGAAGAGGGGGTCCGCAGTGTGCAAATCACGAAACAGCCGCAAAACCTCAGCCTCGATTTCATCATAACCTTCACGGCCAGCAGGCGCCGTCTCCAGAAGTTGGCGCCTGAGGGGATCAAGCCCGAGGCGCTCTTTCAGAAACCACCCAAGCTCCTCCTTGGGCAATATCACGCCCTCACGCTTCAAATCGGCTGCTAGGGTCCGGAACCTTGTGCAGAAGGCGCTGATGCGTTCACACGCCTGTCGGCGAATCTCCACATAGAACCGGGCCCTCAACTCTCCTTTGCGGTCCAGCTCCGACTTGCCAATCATCTCTTCCAACGCCTTGAGCAGCTTGACCAAACCAGCGAAGGGGTCCGCGGCCGTCACTACCACGGTAGCTCCGTCCTCGTTCTTCGTCGTCACCTCCTCAATGCCTTGCAGCTCAGAGGGGTCGTACTCCTCACAGCGAGCACGAACAACTCCGGATTGTCTCAAAGCCCAGCGAGCCGCGACATTGTACTTCTTGCAAGCTTCTGGATCTAATGAAGCCATCCACCAACTCATCTCTCGGCGGAAGGTCCGCCAGTCGGCAGGATTGCCGTCCCACGTTGGCACCTTGTACCAAGCGCTCGTAGTCTTGTCATCCTCCGCCATGAGGGCAGCAAAGTGCCGCCGGCTTCTCGGCTTGTTGGGGTAGTCCCGCAAAAAGGTGAAGTGGCCGTCTTAGATGGCCAGCACAAGGTAAAAACGGTAAAGAGGGCGAAGCTGAGGTTCAGCTCCAGGGCGGTGAAAAGGGTCAGCCGCACTTACCGAAGATGCACGTGACCGCCTGGTCGAAGTGCTCCCTCAGCTGACGCGGGTACTCCCCGAGCCCACGAAGATGCTCCCGGCCGCCTGGCCAGCAAGCTCCCACGAAGGTGCAGGAAGAGGCGTGCAAAGTGAATGAAGATCAAGCGGCGCTTGCCAGCGAAGGCTCCGGTGCCACTGTGAAATCCCGGTGCGCAGCACAGGGCAAATCGCTAGGCCATCCTTTTGCCTGAAAAGCGTAGCGTATGGCTTAGGCCTGAATGGCAGCCGGTACAGCGGGCTATGTCTCATGCGTGCTAAACACTCCATGCCATCATCCCTCAGTCAAGCTGGCTTTTACAACCATTAATGCATTCGTGACTCTTCACAGTAGACATGCGCCGGGCGTGCATCCCCCCCTTGCTCCAGCATTTTGATGACCTCTCCCAAAGCCATGTGCCGCGACATGCAGGACAATGTCCAGCAATGCCGCACTCCAATTTGCAAGTGTAAGGTCATGTATTGACCCCGCTCAGCTCCAAATAGGGGGCTCCTCATGGCTGTGGTGGTGTGGAACTGCAGGTCGTAGTCGGCCAGCTCGTGCTCCTGCACCCCATAGATCTCCTCCAGGTGCTGCATCACGTCTGCCTGCAGCTGGCGAAGCTCCGGCAAGTGCTCGGGCCGCAGGTCCCTCCATGTCATGAGGTACGTCGCAAACTCGCTGAGGCGCACAACCTCGGCAGCGGAGTTGGCCAAATGGAAAGCTTTCAACAGGGCCGGCTGATGAGGCAGGGCTACAACTGAAGTGTACCTTCCTGGTGCTCGCTTCCTTTCCCTCTCATAGGGGAGAGCATTTCCAATAACACTATAGTGACGGACATACACTTAGAAACAGTTTTGGTTTCCAAAATTTCCGACAAACACTTAGAAACGAAAAAAATAAAAACAGTAAATTCAACACTTAGAAACGGTTCGGCCGACCAACACTTAGAAACGTTTTCTTCGCCTTTATGGCGATTCTGATGCATATTACCAGCCGTCAAAAACTTAGAAACGTTTCTAAGTGTTGCCCGAGAGGTACCTGCGGCTTCTAAGCATTGGTCACGGGCGTTGCCCCGAGAGAGAAAAGAGCCGACCATGCAAGAAAAAAACAGCGGAACTAACTATATATATATATATACACAATGAATCAGGCACACAGCACACATGATAGACTTAAGAGATCTTCGGGCAGCCAGACAAAAGACAACCTACAAATCAAGAAAAAGCAACGATTTTACTAAAAAAAAAAGAACAAGAAATGAAAAGGATAAACAAATGACGAGATGATGAAACAATGATGAACCAATATGAGCACATTATGCAAATGATGAAACAATGAACAATGATAAACAAATTATGATTTGCTGGCATTTTTTGTCTTCAGAACTTCCCATGAACATCATCTGTTTTTCATCATGTGTTCATCCCTCCCTTGTTTCAACAGAAAACAACAGAAAAAAAACTGAGCGACACCATGGACAATAATGAGACAAATCATAAGGTTAATGAAATGGTTTCGCGGGGTTGCCGGAAGCTTGAAATCAGCTGGGGGCGAACACCTAGAAACGGTTTTTTCAACCCACTTCTTTTTTCAGAATCTACCAATTGGACTTGTTTCTGGGCATACATGCCCAATACTCCATACATGTCAGCACTGTGTGAGCAAGGCATGATCTACTTACACAAACAAACACATATTTTTATATATGTACAGACCTTCGTCATGGGGGGATCGCTGCTTTCTTGGGGTTGCCGGAAGCTTGAAATCAGCTGGGGGTGAACACTTAGAAACGCCTCCCCCAACTCCCCCCCCCCTCAGAGTCTACCAATTGGACTTGTTTGTGGGTATCCATGACCAATACTCCATACATGTCAGCACTGTGTGAGCAAGATTTATACATGTACAGACCTTCGTCATGGGGGGATCGCTGCTTTCTTGGGGTTGCCGGAAGCTTGAAATCAGCTGGGGGTGAACACTTGGAAACG